ATATATTTACTAATATATATGCTGTTGCATATACACACACATGCACGCATAGAACAGGTGTTGGAAAAGTAAATTTCTGACTTTTTTAAAAGGTCAGAAATCTTTATGTCCCAAGACAACTGATATTACCATATGCAAATGTTGTTCATATCTGATTTGCTGCCTAATATAGGCACTGTGCAATTTCAAACACATTTTAATTTGTTCAAACATCACTAATAATCCTAATTAAATAGAAACTTCTGACTTTATAGTAACAAATAATTAGCATTGACAATAAAAGTGTACATGAAGACATGATTGATGAATTTGTTTATTAACCATTAATAATGTTAATTTAAAATTCTATGGGTATATTTGTCTATGTGTAGATAGTATATTTTGTTACATGTAATTTCAGAAAACAAACAGATTTAGATTTGAATTAACAGAAGAATCAAGCAGACCCTTTTTCTGTTAAAAACTATATATATTTTGTTGTTGAATAAATAGGAATATAATTAACAAAAAAGGACAAAATGTAAAATAAAATTGCAATCTCATTAGACCCAAATATATAGAGATATAAAAATTATTACAAACCAGTTTAAATTATAAAATCTTTGTGGTAGCTGTTACCTCAGTAGAAGGAGACTTTATTCTCTCTGAAAATAATAAAGAAAAATGAAAAGATTGCTCTAACAATAACCATGACTCGAAGTAACATCTTAATCAATTTTGGTACATTTGATGGGAGGGCAATGTCTTATCTTTGGATCTCACCTAGTGCCAATATTGTTTGAACAGAATGAGAGCTCATTTTAAAAATACTTTTTCAAAAAACAATTGAGTTGTGAAATTGGTCCAAGTGGAAAAATATAAAAAAAATAATATCGGCTTTAATTTTATACCTCATCTCCAAATTTAAAGGCAGTACAACAGTGTCAACTTTTAGAAATAAAACTCTTATCAGAGTTTAATATATTAATTTTTAGGTAACACATGCATAGCATGTTGTATACATTACTATATTTTAACTGGTTAATTTTAGCTGGTTATTGGTTCCATTCAGTTCTTCCTATTTCAAACCACTTACACCTTCACATGCTCTTCCTTTAATTCACTACATAGGGTCAATCTATGGTATTTTAAGTACAGTATTAGGAAATTCCTTGTCAGAAATGTTGTGCTACTAAAGCCCAATATGGAGCAAATTTCCCTTGATGCAGCTTTTCTTCCTGCCTTTTAAACATAGGCTTTCTTTTTGAACACTTTGGTCACTGGGATGGGGATTTAATACCTTAAATGATCTAAATCTTCTCTCTAAACAATCTCAACTAGTTCCATGGCTTCAACTTACCATCTAAGTCATGCTGGTCCAACCCGTGACCTGTGGGCTCTTCGAATGTGGCCCAATACAAATTCGTAAACTCTTAAAACATTATGATTGTTTTGTGATGTTTTTCTAAGTTCGTCAGCTATTGTTAGTGTTATTGTGTTTATATGTGGTCCAAGACAATTATCCTTTCAATGTGGCCCAGGGGCATCAAAAGATTGGACACCCCTGATCTAAATGTTGATATATCTCAATCTTTCTCTAAGTTCCCAGAATGTTATTTTTAATTTACCTAAGGGATGTTAGATTTCTCTACTTTGATGTCTCATGGGGACTTCGCATTGTCTACTTGCAATCAACATCATTTGTATCTCCTTTGTATGTTCCAACACTCTTCCACCATTCATATAATGTTAAGGGGCTATTAGTCTAAACACTATGTTTTAAATACTTTTTTGTGGCTAGGGTCATGGATGTGATTGGAGTTGTACCAATGAAATGCACTCATGAATTATTTGGAAAATGGAGGTGACTCTTTTTTATAGTGGTGTGGACAGAAAAGCAGCTCCAGCAGACAAGAGTTACGGCATCAGGTGCTCTGAACTCCATCTTCAATGCCCCAGATATGATGTTGGCAGCAGTAGCCTTACTTCAGGGTGGAAAGAATAGTTCCTCATCTATAAATTCTGTTTTCTTCATCAATTCCTGATGGATCTAACCATGAAACTGCTTGTCATTGAGCAGTTTCTATCTTGGATAACATCACCACTTCTAGACAACTACCCAAGCCAGATGGCTCTCAGGTCCAATTCATCACCATTGACTTTTGAACTTTTCAATATTCCCATATTTTCACCTTCCCATTAGATACATTGATATATCTGACTCGCTACCTGTCACCCCAGACCTGACACATTAAAAATAATTTTTTAAGAAAAATTTAAGAAAATGATACTATTATCAACAGAAGTAGACAGTTCTTTTAATTGCAGTCTTCTATGTCTGTTAATTATAGTACTAAATTTCTCCCAGGCACTCAGGCTTGAAATCCTAGATTCATTTCTCACTGTTACCTCTCTCTTCTTGAATTTTCAATCATTCTCTGTTTAGAGAGCTTAGCATTTTTCATTGGGATGTTGCAATAGGCTGTTAACTAGTTAGTTATCTCTGTTCTTTCCTTCTTTAATTTGTCCTACTGCTGTGACCACACTGATTTTAAAATTCTCTATTGACTAATTTATTTTCCTCTTCACAAACTTTCAATGATTTCCTGCTGACTTTTTATTTAATAAACTTCAAATATTTTAGCCTGGCATTTAAACTTCTCCATAATTTCCTTATTTGAAATAATGTCTCATTATTGTTTTAACTGTTCCCTCTGTGAAATAGGGTGCAATAGGTTACGCTTGGTAATAAGCAGTCCCCAAATCTCAGGGGCTTGGAGTAGAAAATGCATGATATGTGTGTTTGAGGCTTAGCTGGGCCTCTGTTCATCACTGTCCTTATGCCAGATCCCAGGCTGATGAAGCAACCACTTTATAAAACGGTGCCAGTCATTGCAGCTGAGGGAAAAGGTGGGTCTTGAACTGGAATTCAGTGATTTGGCCAGAGGTAGCCACATCATTTCTCCCTTCTTCTGTGAAAGCAAAGACAGACATATAATTGCTATACTCTTCTACTCATTGTTTTCATTAAATATCTTTTGCTTCTCTGTCTTTAGTCTCTGCTTAAATTTTTGAACATAAATGTTTCCTTGTCTATCCACATCATACCCATTCCTTTATATCCAGCTTTCATATCTCGTCTTCCAGTAAGACTTCCCAGATTAGCCAAATCCACAATAACCTCTTCCCTTTACACTGCTAAGAAAATTGGCTAATTATTTGGACATCTTTGCACTAATGCTTTATGTTATCATTTTAACTTCAAAAAGCAATGTTTAGATTCCTTTTCTAGAGTTTTAGGGAGTGGTTCCCCTTTTTTTGTATGCCACCCATTCTGGTTGCCAACATACTCTTCATTTACAGGCTCTCATGCTTTAAAATTTTGATGGATATCTTGGAAATGGATAAACCCAGGTCAAATTTGTAAGAACATAAAAACGTACCACCTTAAACTTTGAGAGACCCTCAGATTAATACTACATAGAATATGTTATACTGCTATTAATGCAGAAAATATAAATAACTATCCAAGGTAGAACATATTTTAAATGGGGTTAATTTATTGGTAAAAGCCTAGGAGTTACTCTATCAATACTATGTTAAAATGTGAAACTGAATTTTAACAAAAAGGTGCTATTCTCTCATAGATTATATGACTTTAGGTGAAAGTCTTGGGTTACTATGCATATATTTCTTTAATAGTAATACGATTATTTTGCTAATTTAAATGATTAAAAATAAATTTCTGCTAGTGGACAGCTTCTTATTTTATGGCCCACATGTCCCAAATCTTTAAATATTGCTGGCACAAAAATGTGGGAAGCAAAAATTTACTAGCAATGTGAAATATGAGACTACTGCATATCTTCAGGTTATTTTTTTAGAATTGTATATTGATTTGAAGAGAATTTTACCATTTTATCCATATGTCCTTGGACATTTGAGGTAAAGAAAAAAGATGAGAAATTGTACAGAATAAGTTGCATAAAATAGGAAGATTAGCAAAAGTGAATGAGACAGGCAGGACATTTGGAAATGTACCAACTATTGCTTGTGCATCTTTTTCTTACTTAACAAAATGGTTAAGTAGCACATTGATCTTCAAAGGATGACAATAAATTGTGCATACTCTGCAGCCATCTCATCTTTATGCCTACAAATTGTGTATTGTGCAGAACTGAATTCTTCAGGACTCTCTTGTTATAAAGAAGAAAATCTTGGCACCAGCTTTCTGATACTGACTTGCTATTATACCACATTGGAGCAGGAAAAAAATTGATTCCTTTTTTTCACTTGATGTATTTTTAATTAATTTTTAAAATATTGAATATATAAGGAGAGTAATAATATTTGAATAAGGTAAAAAGAATAGCAATAAGATCAATATCTAGATATTACCAACCCGTTTAAGAACAGAATACTAACAGTACATTTGAATTTCTCTGTGTGTCCTTCTTCAGTTCCATATCTCTTATATGTTTGTATTTCTAAATAATATTTGATTTTGTGTTTTTTGAAATTTATATAAATAGAATGATGCTATATTTAGTCTTCTGTGATTAGCCTTTTAAGTGCAGCATTATGTCCTGAGACTCTATTTTGATATATATGGCTGAAACACTTTAATTTATATTGCTGTAGAGTATTTCATGTAAGAATATACCAAAACTTTATTTATTCTGTAATTGATGGGCATTTCAATGACTCTTGTTTTATTATTGTTATTGTCAAAAATGCTGCTATAAATACTGTTTACCTATTCTCTGTTGCAATTGTTCAAAATGTTTCTAGGATATATGCTGGTAGTGGGATTGCTCAGGGGTAAGGTTGGTGCATTTTTAACATCATGACATGATATTAAATTGCATTCCCACTTGCATCTGCAAATGCTAGGTATTGTTGCCTACACCTGATGTTCTCTGGCTTTAAGTTTTCTGAAATCTAGAGGGTGTAACATGGTTGGCTTAGTTTTACTTTCCCTGATGATTAATAAGATTTTTCCTTTTGTTTTTAATGAATAGATATTGAATTCCATTGAAGGATTTTTCTGCCCCAATTGAAATAATTTTTCTGCTGTAATCCAGTCATGTGGTGAGTGACATTAATTAATTTTATAACTTTACATTTTTGGGATGATCAAAAACTCATTTTGATCATGATGTATTATCCTTTTCATGTGTTGCTGGATTCAATTTGCTAATGCTTTATTTTGTATCTTTCCTCATGACTACTTTTTCTTTCTTGTGCTCTCCTTGTCAAATTTTTGTATCAAGGTTATGCTAGTCTTATAAAATAAATTTGGTCAGGTTTTTTTTTTTTTTTTCTATTTCTGTAATGTTTTTGAAAGATGTAAATTATATAACCTCATAGAATTTGTTGGCTAAATAATCTCAGATTTGTATTCCCTTTGTGGGAAATGTTTTGACTTTGGACTCCACTTATCTATAGTTATAGAATTATTCAAACTTTTTATTTATTTTTTACAGCAATTTTTAGACAGTTATATGTTTCTACGAATTTGTCCTATTTAAGTTCAGTTTTAAAATTATTGGTATAAAGTTGTTAATGCTATTTTATTATGTATTTAATATTTTCAGTATCAGAATATATGGATGCTTTCCATTATTAATTATGTTTATTTGTGTCTTCTCTTTTTAAAATCATCCTTGAGTTTTGTAAAAGTTATTAGTGTTATCAAATAATTTTTTTGCTGTATTAGTATTCTGTATTGTTTCTTTGTCTTATAGTTTATTATTTTCTGTTTTTATATTTATTATTTTGTTGTCCATTTAACTTTATTCAATTACTTTTCTAATTTCTTAAATTGGGTATTTAATTTATCTATTTTCAGGATTAAATTTTTATAAATCAAGGATTTTTTAAAGCTACAAATTTCTGACCCAGGAGTATTTTAACTTCACCACACAAGTTTTGATATATAGCATTTTAAATCTTTCACATGATTTATTTTTTAACCCATTAGTTAATTTAGACATTGGGATTGATACATTTAAATAAATTCTTGATTTCTAACTTAATTGCAATTTTATTAGAGATTATGGACTGGATAATAACTATTTTTTTGAAATTTGTTGAGGTTTGTTCATCAGATGGAAGGTCAATTTTAAAAAACAATTAGTCCATGTGTCTTGAAAAGTATGGGTTATTCTTCAATTGTTGCTCACAATCTTCTACATTTTAAAGACAAATACAATATAAAAATAAGAAGCTTCATTCTCCCAACTGAAAATAAGAGATTTCCCTTCCCTCCTTTTTCTGCCAGCATTAACCTTAGAAAATGTAATGAAGTAATTAACTAAAACTTAAAGTACTTTCTTATTTGTCTGAAATGTCCATAAATCCTTTTGAAGACTATATAGGGATTTCATCAGCTTTAAGAATGTCTTTCTTGTCCGGGCGCGGTGGCTCAAGCCTGTAATCCCAGCACTTTGGGAGGCCGAGGCGGGTGGATCACGAGGTCAAGAGATCGAGACCATCCTGGTCTACATGGCGAAACCCCGTCTCTACTAAAAATACAAAAAATTAGCTGGGCATGGTGGCACGTGCCTGTAATCCCAGCTACTCGGGAGGCTGAGGCAGGAGAATTGCCTGAACCCAGGAGGCGGAGGTTGCGGTGAGCCGAGATCGCGCCATTGCACTCCAGCCTGGGTAACAAGAGCGAAACTCCGTCTCAAAAAAAAAAAAAAAAAAGATGTCTTTCTTTCTTAAGGACCTAGGTACCATATCTTTGAAATGTTAACAAGGGAGCTAGCAAGACAGCACCCTAATCTCTCATTTTCTGTGGGCAGGTAGGAGAGTCAGTGGGTGTCTTGTTCCAATTTGCAAAACCATTTCTTGTAAAAAATATATGAGAAATTCTCCAACCTCCCCCAAACCTCTGCTCTGGATCCAGCTGATTAGCTAACACAGATGGTTACCTACTTACCAGGTAAAGTTAGGATGTGTGACTGATGGTGCTATCAAGTCCTCTCACTTGAGAACTAGTTATTATCTCGTAAACATGTATGTAATAGGTTTTATCTGCTTGCCCATATAAAGGGCGAGATTTCTGTCTTTACAAACTCTTAGTGGAATCCCTGTGATATATATCACATTCTGGCTTAATATTCTTTCAATAATACAACATCTTCTATTTCTACTGCTTTTGCGAAGAGGATGTCTGGGTTGGGAGAAGATATTGTTCTTCTTTCTTGTTTTTTAGAGACAGGGTCTTGCTCTGTTGCCCAGGCTGGAGTAGAGTGTGTACTTCAGAGCTCACTGTAGTCTCTAACTCCTGGGTTGAAGGGATCCTCTTGCCTCAACCTCCTGAATAGTTAGGACTACAGGCATGCACCACCATACCTGGCTAATTTTTACTTTATTTTAATTTTTTTCTGTAGAAACAAGGTCTTGCTATGTTGCCAAGACCTGTCTCAAACTCCTGGCCATCCTTTAGCTTCAGCTTTTCAAAACTCTGGGATTACAGGTGTGAGCCACTGGGCCCTGCCTAAGATTTTTGTTGTTTTAATTATATTTTCTCAACATCATGTGCGTACACACACACTAAATTTTTAATTGTGTTGTTCAAATCTTCTATATCCTTTTTTTTCCTTTTTTTAATTGCATTTTAGGTTTTGGGGTACATTTGAAGAATATGCAAGATAGTGGCATAGGTACACACATGGCAGTGTGATTTGCTGCCTTCCTCCCCTTCACCTATATCGGGCTATCTCTCCCCAACTCCGCACCCCCCACTGTCCCTCCCCTATTTCCCCCAACAGACCCCAATGTGTAGTGCTCCCCTCCCTGTGTCCATGTGTTCTCATTGTTCAACACCCGCCTATGAGTGAGAATATGTGGTGTTTGATTTTCTGCTCTTGTGTCAGTTTGCTGAGAATGATGGTTTCCAGGTTCAACCATGTTCCTACAAAGGACACGAACTCATTGTTTTTGATGGCTGCATAATATTCCGTGGCGCATATGTGCCACATTTTCCCTGTCGAGTCTATCATCGATGGGCATTTGGGTTGGTTCCAGGTCTTTGCTATTGTAAACAGCGCTGCAATGAACATTCGTGTGCATGTGTCCTTATAGTAGAACAATTTATACTCCTTTGGATATATACCCAGTACATGGGATTGCTGGGTCAAATGGAATTTCTATTTCTAGGTCCTTGAGGAATCGCCACACTGTCTTCCACAATGGTTGAACTAATTTACACTCCCACCAACAGTGTAAAAGTGTTTCTATTTCTCCACATCCTCTCCAGCATCTGTTGTCTCCAGATTTTTTAATGATCGCCATTCTAACTGGCGTGAGATGGTATCTCAATGTAGTTTTGATTTGCATTTCTCTGATGACCAGTGATGATGAGCATTTTTTCCTATGTTTGTTGGCCTGATGTATGTCTTCTTTTGTAAAGTGTCTGTTCATATCCTTTGCCCACTTTTGAATGGGCTTGTTAGTTTTCTTCTTGTAAATCTGTTTTAGTTCTTTGTAGATTCTGGATATCAGCCCTTTGTCAGATGGGTAGACTGCAAAAATTTTTTCCCATTCTGTTGGTTGCTGATTCACTGTAGTGACTGTTTCTTTTGCCATGCAGAAGCTGTAGAGTTTGATTAGGTCCCATTTGTCTATTTTGGCTTTTGTTGCCAATGCTTTTGGTGTTTTGATCATGAAGTTTTTGCCTACGCCTATGTCCTGAATGGTTTTGCCTAGATTTTCTTTTAGGGTTTTTAATGGTGTTAGGTCTTATGTTTAAGTCTTTAATCCATCTGGAGTTAATTTTAGTGTAAGGTGTCAGGAAGGGGTCCAGTTTCTGCTTTCTGCACATGGCTAGCCAGTTTTCCCAACACCGTTTATTAAATGGGGAATCATTTCCCCATTGCTTGTTTTTGTCAGGTTTGTGAAAGATCGGATGGTTGTAGATATGTTGTGTTGCCTCTGAGGCCTCTGTTCTGTTCCATTGGTCTATGTCTCTGTTTTGGTACCAGTACCATGCTGTTTTGATTACTGTAGCCTTGTAGCATAGTTTGAAGTCCAGTAGTGTGATACCTCCTGCTTTGTTCTTTTTGCTTAGAATTGACTTGGCTATGTGGGCTCTTTTTTGGTTCCATATGAATTTTAAGGTGCTTTTTTTCCAGTTCTTTGAAGAAGGTCATTGGTAGCTTGATAGGGATAGCGTTGAATCTGTAAATTACTTTGGGCAGTATGGCAATTTTCAGGATATTGATTCTTCCTAACCATGAACATGGAATGTTTCTCCATCTGTTTGTGTCCTCTCTTATGTCGTTGAGCAGTGGTTTGTAGTTCTCCTTGAAGAGGTCCTTTACGTTCCTTGTTAGTTGTATTCCTAGGTATTTTATTCTCTTTGTAGCAATTGTGAATGGCAGTTCATTCTTGATTTGGCTCTCTTTAAGTCTGTTATTGGTGTATAGGAATGCTTGTAATTTTTGCACATTGATTTTGTATCCTGGGACTTTGCTGAAGTTGCTTATCAGTTTCAGGAGCAAATCTGCTATATCTTTACAGAGTTTTTGATTTAATAACTATCAAGAGAGGTATGATAGCAAATTTGTCCATTCCTACTTTAGTTAATATTTACAGTATATATTTTTTGATTATGATAATATGGGCTTTCAAGTTTAGAATTATTACATATTTCTTTAAATTGAAAATATTATCAAAATATGTAAATTAACTTTATTTCTAATAATGTGCTTTGTATTAAAATGTTAATATAGTAACAACAATTTATTTCACTTACCATTACACAGAATTCTATTTCTAATGTGTCATTGTTTTTAGCCCTCTTTTATATATGATATAGCTGATTTTTTAAAAATTCAGTTTTAAAACATTTGTCTTTACTGGAGAGTATTCTCCCTTTACTGATTGTCATTACTGGTCTACTTTGATTTATTTCTGCAATCTTGTTTATTTACTTTCTTCCTCCTCTGTCTGTTTTTCTCTTGCTTTATTTTGAATTTATTGATTTTTCCTCTACCAGTTTTGAGGTTGTTTACCCCTTTTATAATAAGTTGGTAGTTGCTTGAAGAATTTCAACATGCATACTTAACAAAACAAGGTCTAAATTTAAACAATGTTTTACCTTCCTCCTAAACAATACAGGGGTTTGTAGAATACTTTAATTCATATCAGTCTCCTCCTGACTGACAAGATATTGTTATCCAATATTTTTATTTATTTTGCTATATTGCTCTTTTATACATTTATATTTTAATTAGCTTTACACATATACTCTACACATTTATTTCTATGATTATTATTATTCCTTTCTGTATCTTACAATTTCAATAGGGGACAATTTTCCTTCTGTCAGAAACAGATTCTTTAGAATATCCTGTGGTGAGGGTTTGTTAGTAGTAAATTTTCTCAGTTTCAGTCTGAAAGATAGTAGTATTAGTTATATAATTGTAAGGTGATAGTTTTCTTGTGTTGGGAGGGTAGGGTGATAAAAACAGTACTCCATCAAGTGATCCAGAAATATGATAACCAGCCAAGATATTTTTTCAATATGGAAGCATTTGGGAGGTATTAA